AGGGCAGGGGCCAGGGGTATGCACTAGCCAATCGATTAAAACGCGTGTGGGCGGATTCGAATTGATGCTGCGATTGATGTTGAAAAAGAAATGTAGGCTAGGCCTTATTTGGTAGGGGCTGAACATGGGGTGCTTTTGGCGCTACCTCGAAAATGTCGATTCTTTTCGCCTCCTATCTCCGTAAAGCCCGCCAGCCGTTGGCGCTCCAGAACGAGCACGAGTTTGTAATCCATAGGTGTTATCCAATGCTCTGGGAACACTGCCAGCAGTTGGTCGTCTCGTCAGTCGTTTTTGGAGGATATAAACTGCCCCGCGAGGTCCCTCAACCGCTCTTCACGCCCTTTCCACAACATTCCCCCCTCCACCCTTGCCAGCACCGACTCTGCCAAGCCCCGCCCATCATCCCGCACTCGCCCCCCTTAGCCATGCCCCGCGGAGCCGTCATAGCCCTCGCCCACGGCGGCGGCCCCATGCCGCTGCTGGGCGACCCAGAGTCGGCCCAGATGATCAAGTCGATGCGCGAGCGCGTGCCCGAGATCCTGCGCCTCGACGACCCGGACCCGGCCCGCCGCCCGGCCGCCATCGTGCTCGTGACCGCCCACTGGGTTGCGCCCTCGGGCCTGACCTTCCCGTCCATCACGTCGGGCGCCAGCCCGGACCTCATCTTCGACTACTACAACTTCCCGCCCGAGTCGTACGAGTACAAGTACCCGGCCCCGGGCGCGCCCGACCTCGCCGCCCGCCTGGCCGAGCTCGCGCGGGACCAGGGGCTTTCGCCATCGCTGCACCCGGACCGGGGCTACGACCACGGCGTCTTCGTGCCGCTGCTGCTGGCGCGCCCAGCCGCCGACGTGCCCGTGCTGCAGGTGTCGGTCATGCAGGGCGACGACGCGCGCGCCCACTTCGCGCTGGGCCGCGCCCTCGCCGCGCTGCGCGAGGAGCGCAACGTGGCCGTCGTGGGGAGCGGCTTCGCGTCCTTCCACAACCTGCGCGACATGCTTGCCGGCAAGACGGCCGGGGGCGACGCGGAATTTATGCGCCTGCACAGGGCCTGGAACGCCGCCATGACCGACGCCGTCGTTACCGAGGCGGTCGGGGAGAGGGAGGACAAGTTCGCGGGCTGGCGCGACTGGCCGCACGCCTACGCCAGCCACCCGGCCAACGGGGCCGAGCACTTCATGCCGCTGGCCGTCTGCGCGGGCGCTGCGGGGGACGGGGTGGCCAAGTCGTACGTTGACGAGTACATTGGGCTGGAGATTCACTCGTACTATTGGGACTGAGTACTGTGTGGACGAAGTTTGTGCATAAAGATAACGTGAATATTCGTGTGCTCATTGCGCCCGAGCGAGGGCGGTGTAAAAAGCGGAAGGAAAGGAAAGAACCCATGACGCGAACTGCGCTTCTTTGCTTGGGAGCTCCAACAACGTGCATAGATAGAACAAAGAAAGAAACACCGAGAAAAAACACCCAACTCTCCGTCAAATACCGTCATAACAGCGCTCGCCAAACCACCCCTACAGCCCATCCCTATGGACGGCAATCCTCGGCTTAGACACCCACTCCTCCGTGCCCGTGCGTCCCCGCGGGCCCGTGGTGGCCACCAGCGTGCGCGCCATTGTTGTGGACCGGCCCGTGGTGGTGGTGGTGGCCCGCGTTCCCGCCACCCCATCCACCGGCGCCGGCGCCGTAGCGGAACTCGCTGACGGCGCCGCCCGCGCCGCGGGCCACGCGCCTCCGGCGCTTGACCAGGCAGCAGATCCCAACGATGAGCGCGATGAAGGCGACGCCGCCAAGGACGATGCCGACGATGGCGCCGACGCTGATGACGGTGGCGCCCGTGCGGACCGCGTCGGCACCCCGGTTGAACGAGTCTTGGGCGTCGTCGCGCGCGTCGTCCAAGTCCTGCCTGCCGGGCCCGTTCGGGACCTGCCGCCGCACGTTGGCGAGCTGCCCGAGCGCGGCCAGGCTCCCGGCGACGAGGGCGTCGGGGCTGGGGGAGCGGAGGCCGGCGGGGATGTGCATTGCGTCGTGGTTTTTTAATTATTTTTTTGGAACTTCGTCCTGGCGGTTGTTTGCTTGTGGTGTCGGGGCTGCTTTTGGCTCCCTTGTGCAATAGGTGCCTTGGTCGACTCCTTCTACGCAGCCGAGACAGCCCTGATATAGGCGCATCCATAACCCACAGCCAAGATGCTATGACATAACCCCAAATCGAGGCTTCACTTCCATCACTGCACCCACCAGAGGCCGCCGGTCACAAGCTTACGCCGGCGTGGACTCTCGCTCGTGAGCCCGTTGGCTTAACAACCATGGTTGGTTGCACGGAGCAGGCGCAGTGTCAGAAGGATCGTGACCGCTTTCGGGGTGACATCAACAGTGGTTGATGAACTACCCCATGGGGAATGTGCCAAGGGGCGCCAGGGACAAACCGGCACCGTTTAAGGCTGACATGCCGCTTGTTCTCAACGTCAACGGTCAAGCTCTGTGGGGAAGGATCTGTTCAACGTCATGCCATGCATACCGTTGGGTCGCCTTTGGGCTTGCCTTTGAGGTTACCACCGCATTGGACCCGAGTGGTACGCAGAAGTCCGAGTGTGGTATTGGACACGAGCATCAGATGCGTTTTTTTGTGGGGTATTGACACCACCACACGCTGGCCATCGAATAAAGGTTTCCCTTTGGTTCTGTAGCTGCGTTAGAGGCAACGGACGACACAACACAGCCACATACCGCCACTTCTTGATATCACCTGTCGCTCCAGCCACCTCCCTAGACGGGGATCGGATCGTTCACATCGGTGAGTGGGGTCTAGACTCACTCATGCCCATGGCGCCAGCCGTTGCTGCAGCGGGCCCCCCGGCTGTAGACGTTTGTTGTTCTGCATTCAGATGGGGGCCCCGCGGCAGTCATGCCCCGTTTCAGCTGCCGCTCTCGCGGAACATGGGCGGCGCGGCTCGCATCGTCGGGGCGCCCGACCGAGACCCGAGTTGGCATATTTTGGCCACACCGAGTAGGTAGGTAGATGAGCGGTGGGGACGCCAGAAAGGGCCAAAGGGGTTGTAGGGCGCCAGTCGCGGCTTTTCGGTGGATCGGACAGCAGATGAGGCTGCGCTTCGGGCCGGGGGTGGGCGAGTCGACCCGAAGCCGTACAATCCCCACAGCGGTGGAGAGTCGCGCGACCCGGAGCGAGCCAGAGCTCCGAGTTTCGGGTTGATTGCATTGGCGCTGACTGGGGTTACTAGTTGCCATAGGGAGGCTTCCATTAAACGCCATGAATAGATAGATATCTAAAAGCCTTCTGGCTTGTGCCATGGTCGCTTTTCTTTTATCCACGGCATCAAACTTGTCTCAACCTCACCTCGAAAGGACACAAAGCCTACAGCCACCCCCGTTTAGTTTCCCCGTACCCCACTTTCCAGATTCCCGCTCCGTCAACATGGCCGACATACATCCCGGAGCCTTCAAGGCCTTAATCGCCAACCTCAAGGCCACAAACGTGACCAAGACGGTCCACTCGACGTCATACCCGGCCATTTCCCCGCTCCGCCCCGAGCTCAGCCAGGCCGGGTGGACCGTCTTTATCACCGACGGCACCGGCGGCCTCGGCCTGGCCATCGCCAAGAGCTTCGTCGCCGCCGGGGCCGCGCGCGTCGTCATCGTCGGCCGTAGACTCAATTCCCTGGCGGCGGCCCATCAGAGGCTGGAGGAGGAGGCCGCCAGGCTGTCGTCCCCAAGCGTCATTATCCACAGACAGTGCGACGTGGCGGCCGACGCCGACGTGGAAAGGCTGTGGGTCGACGCCGAGGTCGGCCCCGTCCACGTCCTCGTTCTCAACACGGCCGCCTTCCGGAGGGAGCACAAGTCGCTGGTTGACATCGGATACAAGGTCGTTTGGTCTTATTTCGAAACCAACGTCGAGGGAAATATCCACATGACGGAGAGGTTTGCCAAGCAGACTACGCCCGAATGGTAGTCCGTTGGCCCCAAGGTACGTTTCTTCTCTTCCTCCCGCTGTTCCACTCCCCCACCCCCATCCAGCTCAGTCAAGCGTACTGCTCCCTACACTTTACATTTGCCACCCTGAAACCGCACCGGGGGCCTTCCACACCGGCAGCGCCACCGACCACATCGGCTTCGCAGCAGAGGACCTGGCCTTTGACGACACATCCATGCCGGCCTCGGTCGCCGTCTGGCTGGCCTCGCGGGAGGCCCGTTTCCTTCACGCCGCTTCAATTTGGCGTCCTGGGATGTGGAGGAACTCGCGACCGGGGAGCTGAGGAGGCGGATCGACGAGGACGCCGACTTCCCAAGGATCGGCGTTGTTGGGCTCAAAGTAACCAACCTGACCTAGTTGGGAGCTGCGGGGTTTCGAGCCGCCGTCTTGGTGTTTTGGCCGGTTTGAAGCATTCACGTCGTATCTATATGCTCGGCAGTTTGGATTCATGTATTCATAGTTGGGATTGCTGCATGAAAAAAAAACCCTCCGAAAATTGACACTCTCTCGCTCGAGTATATTGAAAGAACCCCCGCCTCACCCCCGGCGATGCGGAGGACGCTTCCAAGACACAGCGCGTGCATGTGCTAGCTTGGCTTCCCCGAAACCCCGAGGACCCGCTCCTGTGCTTGTCGACATGCAGGGCGGTGGACGCTTGCATGCCCGCGGCGCGAAGCGAGCAAGAGGTCCCCCGGTACCACGTGCGAGGCGAACGTGCGACCTGTGTTGCGCCGCGGGCGTGCTCTAGGACGGTAGCGTTCCCGCACCCCGTCGATCCCCGGTACAAGACGTCGTGTGCAGCTGTAGCTTTTGGCCGATGGCCTCGATCATCTGCACAGAAGATCGGGGCCGTGAGAACTAACGGCCCCCACCCTCGCCTGCTCTCCCTCCCAACGCGCATCGGAATACAAGTCGAGTGCAGGTGGAACAAATCAGTCGCTGCTTTATTGGGTGTCACTAGCTCGCTGCCAAGGTCTATTCATGGTGGGGAGAAGATGAGATGAGAAAAAATGCAAGTCCTCCAGGCAAGAAAACCACTGCCTTTATGTTTCAAGAAGACTACTGGCGGAAACCAGGAAACACATAAAAAAAAAAAAAAAAAAAAAAAAAAAAAGAACAAAGGAAAGCGAAAAAGGAAGGTTACCTCCGGCTGGTGCGGAGGCGCGGGCGGCCACTTCTCTAATTACCCTTGAGCTCCCCCAGGTCGGTCCGCTCCTTGAGGCGGAGGTAGAGCGGGGGCTTCTCCCAGACGAAGAAGACGCGCTGGTCGTCGAGCCAAGTGTCCTTGGTGCGCGGGTCGAGCTCAAGGTCGAAGCGGAACAGGACCCGGGCCGCGGCCAGGCGCATCTCGGAGTAGGCCAGGTTCTTGCCGATGCAGTCGCGAGGGCCGGCGCTGAAGGGCTTGAACATGGCAAAGTTGTCGTGCGCCTTGAAGCGAGGGTCGAACATGGCGTGGTCCTCGTGCAGGAAGCGCTCCGGCTGCCACTTTGTGGGCTCGAGGAAGTGGTCCGGGTTGTGGAACGTGGCGGCCTGGAAAATGGTTATCGTGGTCTGGAGCGGGGTCGGACTGTTAGCTTTCACGAGTTTCGGGGGGCGGTGGGGGCGGGGGCGGGGGCGGAAAATGTTACATACCCCCGGGGCGACATATTTTCCATCTACAAGTCCACCAGGCGAGATCCGGGCCGGCATCTCCGCCACCGGGGGGTGTATGCGCAGACACTCCTCGATGCAGGCGTGCAGCAGGGGCAGGGCGTCGCTCCGAGCGGAGCGAATCGTGATATCGGCATCGCTCTTGAACAAAGACCGTATTTCGGCGACGACGGCGTCGTAATAACGTCGATTGGCGGGCCTGGCGAGCTGGAAGCACAGCGTGGAAAGGTTCGTGGCCGTGGTCTCGCTGCCGGCCACGATGAGCGTGTTGGCGTTGACGCGAATCTCGTCCTTGGTGAGGCCGTCCTTGCCGTCCCTGGTGGCTCGCATCATGTACGTGATGAAGTCGCGGCGGACCTGCATCTTGGGTTGGCCGTCGGGGCCGATGGCGCCCTTGCTCCGCACCAGAGGCTCGACGCCCAGCTCCATGCGGGCGAGGGCCTTTCCGTCCGCGTACTCGCGGTTGAGATCCGTTTGTTTGACGAGGCCGCTGGGGTCCAGCAGCGCGAACAGGGCGAGATGGCACTCGATGAGGAAGCGGAGGACGCTGGAGCCCCTGAGTCCTCGGAACACGTTGTTCACCCACGGGTGATATTTGCTCGATTCCAGACTGCCAAACGACTCGCCCAGTGCCAAATCGCCGATGATGTCGAAAGCCACGTAGTTTAGCCAGCTGAGCATGTCGATTGCCTTGCCGCCCTTTGAGTTTTCCGAAAGCCGCCGGATGAACAGGTCGATATAGAAGCCGATGATGGGCTCCTGCTCGTAAATGGCCGCCTCGCTGAAGCCGTGGGCGACCTGGCGGCGTTGGCGGCGGTGGGCCTCGCGGCTCGGTGCGGCGATGAGGCTTTTCTCCATTTCTGGTCCAAAGAAGGACATGTCTTTTCCGAATTCGGGCAGGTTTTTACCCGGTTTGTGCATAAACACGTCGGGCCATCCCACGGATCCATCCACCATTAGGCGATTGGGAGAGATGCGCACAACGGGGCCGTATTTGCGGTGAAGTCTCCTCGCGCTGGTGACGAATTGACCCTTCAGCATGTTGTGGTATGCAAAAGGAAGTGCCGAAGCCGCGTAGAGTTTTGGCCCTGGGAATTTGGCAAGTGGATGCAAGGTAAGGCGGTAGACGGCGAGGCCCAGCCCCCACACGACAGGCTGTAGATGGCATAGAAAGGTTGTTAGCAAATCATAGTGGACGCCAGGTACGGCTGCGGCTTGGGGGGACGCCTATGAGTGCTCACGGCCAAGACCAATATGATGGCCATGTTGGGAGCGGTGGTCAGCCGCTCCGCAGCCGCGGCCAGCTGCTCGCGGGCGATGGACGGCATCGTTGTAGTTGTTCCCTTGGTGTCGGCACCTGTGTCTCGATCTGGTTTGGGTAGGACTGGATGCTACCTGGTGGATTTATAAGAGGTATTGAGGGAAGTTTCTTTTTCAGATGGTGCGGAGGCTATTATATCTACAGCTCGCCACCCATGGTCCGGCCTGCTCAAGCGCACTGTCCCCGTCAAAGTCGGACTTTGCGGGCAAGCAGACCCATACCGATATTGATGTGACATCGGGGTCGTCGGGGGAGAAAAATCTCCCGAAATTTCTCGGAACCGGGCCTGCGCGGCCAGAAACGTAAACCAGCTGCACCTCGGGCATACGGGACTTTAATAGCCCCCCGATGCCGTTGCAAGGGGCACCTTGTTTGGAGGGCCACAACGGCGATAGGTGAAGCAAAGTTTAAGCTTAAGTGCATTCCGATTCACGGCATTCCCGAGAGATCAGCCCATCGACGGCTCGGATTGTGACATCGGAATAAAAACGCAGAAATGCGGCGGGTGTGGGGCTTTCCCGGCCGTCTCGCAGCGTAAAGGATGGCTCAAGCGCCAGTGACTGCGCTGACTGTCAAGGGGAGCATCGCAGCCTCGCTTTTTGGAGGAACCTAGTCCATTATCCGTTTTGCGAAGGGTACACGAGGCTGGCGACCACGGATAGCGGTTCTGGGGACGCGTGGGCGTCAGGCCCTTGTGGCGTGGAATAAAAACGGGCTGGCGGATAGGGCGCCAGCACATTTGGCTGAACCGTAGTGCTCACGGGAGGTCGGGTCGAGAGCAGCGGCCATCAATGATACAGCTGCTTCTAGAGATGGAAGCACTCCTCTGGTGGTGCTGGATGGTTAGAAGTAGAAGATGCTGGGATTGACAGCCGCCCCTCACTAGCTCGTGGGGGCGCGACGGTACCTGCATGGCACTGACATCATGCAGTCAGACCCTAACCCCGTCAGCCCTCTTGGCTGCTCCAGTCTAGCGGACGCGATGTAACACCAGCAAACAATACTGACGAGTGCCGCGATAATTTCGCTGGTTCCAGCCAACATCATCCACTCCTGATGTCAAGCATGTCACCATTATTTCGAGCGCACGAATACTTGCTCCCACGACCTGGTATTTGTCACATATATATATCTCTTCCCGCGTGGTCTCTTCCTCGCTGGACAAGATGCGGCATCAGAGGATTCACCACCAGAAAGCCATTGGCCTACCCATCTTGACGACCTTTCACAGCCCGATCCAAGATGAAAGTCTCTACCCTTCTCACTTTCCCGCTTCTGGGTCTCCTGGGATCGGCCCTCGGGTCTCCTGCCCCAGCCGCTGTGTCCCCAACTACTGCCGGGAGTCTTGAGACCCGCCAGGCAGAGTCCCCTCTCGGCTTGCTCGAGTCCCTCTTGGAGTCCATCAAGGGCCAGACCGGCATTATCAGTAAGTCACCCCAGACCGATACGACTTCTCAGGGGTGGCCCACACCTCAGTGTTATAGGTTCGAACCGGTCAGGCGCTGACTTGTGCAAATTTTCCCGAGCGCAGACTCGACAATCTCTGGGCTCCCCGCGGATGCCAACGTCTCGACGCTGGGCCTTGCGGCGCCCGCCATCCACGATGCCGTCACACAGATCACGAGCCTCATCATGGCAACCGAGGAGACAGTGACGGCCAACGCGGAGGAGCAGAAGCGCGCCCTCCAAGCCCGAGACCTCGAGACTCGACAGGCCGACGCCATCGCCATTGTCTGGGCCATCGGTGCCATCCTTGTCGAGATCAGCGCGACGTTGGACGCCATCATCAACTCGCCCTTCGGGATTGGTAAGTCGCAGGATCGTCTATAGCTCAAGACCTGAGCCATTGCCGACCCCGTAACCTTTATCATTACCACAGGTGTATTGCTAGGTCGCCTCAATCCCCTCACACTTGCTTTGAGCGCCCTTGTGGCCGGGTTGGCTGTTGTTGTCAATGGGCTTCTGTTGCTTGTGGGGACACTCTTGAACACCATCCTCCTGGACTTGAGCATCGCCCTGCTTGGCCTCAGCTTCTAAGAGATACCACAATCATGGTTGGCTGGAGGAAATGAGTAGAGTCCTGGAGATTGCAAGGTGCGGATACGCAGACATCTATAAAATACAGTCTCCGGCTTGCTGGTCTTCTCCCATCCCAAGAAAATAATAACGGAAGTTACGGCGTCTGAGTGAAGTCGATGCACGACTGGTATGTCTGGCCCTGACCAAACCAGTGCCATTGGATCGCCTGTGTTATCCAGTTACTTCCGTCAGCAAACCCGAGGCCAATGACAAATGACTGGGGATAGGCACGGATGGGAAAGGACATGTACTCACACACGTGCCAGCCACGCTGCACTTTGACCCAAGATCCGGCACCGTGATGTTGAACTTGACCTGGTCCCCAAGCATGTTCGGAAACTTTGCCGGGTCGGCATACCCGTCGCGCCAGACACGCAGCGGCTCCCCGACGACCTTGTTGGCCTTGGTGTCCACGACGCTCACGTTGGCGTAGCCCTTGTGCGGGATGCGGATGGTGACGGCCACGGCGACCTCGGCGCCGGCCGCGTACCTCTGGACCTGGGCCGCGTTGTCGGCGAACTGGTACCCCTTGCAGAGCCACATGTTGCAAGTGGCCGGGTTGTAACCGCCCGTGCTCCAGCCCGCCGTCCGCTGGAAGGCCTCGGGGTACGACGTGCCGTCCGCCTTGTAGAAATCCACCATCTTCTTGCCGCAGGCGGCCGCGGTCGCGGCGCCGGGCTGCCGGGTCGCGGGCGAGATGACGACGCCGTGGGCGGAGGCCTGGGCCAGGAGGCCGATGATTGTCGCGAGGAACAGCATTGCGAATGACAGCCTGAGCCCTGTGGTCAGCCTAGGTCAATGATGGCGTTTAAGCGAGCTCGGCAGAAGAGGTGATGCGGGAGGGTTCTTTTGGTCTGTGGCCAGCAGAGGAACGACGACTTTTATATCGTCACCACAAGGGCGGCCACCCAGGCAGGCAGGCGCTTCAGAGGGCGTATCTGGAATAATACCGGATAGTTGCACTGAAATTGGAATTTCACGGTCTCGCCAATCATTTTCTGGCGGCATATGGATAATACTACCAGTTGCTTTAAGCCGGAAGAGGAACGACGGGATGCAAGGCCCGATGCCGCAAGCGGTTCAACCGACTTCCGGACGGGGAAAACTCCTAGGAGCTGGTATGCTACAGCACAAAGCTGGGGAAAAACCGAACAACCGAAAAACCGCTAACCAGTGCCGTATTAGGCCATGCTTTACCTGCCACTTGCTCCTTCCCGATATCTTCAAATGGCTCCCTCTGGCCCCCGCCGGAGAAGTCAGGGACAATTCAGCCTTATGTGAGGATGAACTATCTCTATATGGATAGATTCTTAGTTATCCTCAAATATTATCACCGCGATAGGGCATGACAGTGAAAACAACAATTTTGCGGAATTTTCCGGGTATCATTTGGTAGATGTTGGGTGCCGAGGCCGTCGCTCAAATCATTCTTGGCTACGATGGCAGGTAATCGATGTGCTATCAACAAACTAGCAGCTGATCCTAACCATGTCCCAAGGGCCAGCTGTCGCGGCTCGGATCCGATAGGAGATGAAGGGGCATCCTCCGACACAGAAATTCGTGGACACTGGTACTTAAAACAAGCAGTTGCCACCGCCAGCCTTGTTGATGAAGCTGTTGGGCGAAAAAAAGGAGATGAGGTTAGCTCGTGTGTTTGCAGATGTGCCTATTCAAAGGGGAGCATACCAAGTCTCCCCGGACTGGCCATCACCGCACAGGACGATACCGTCGTTACGGCCGCTCTCGTTGCAGATAAGTCCTCGTTCCCTTCCGGCGGCGACGCGCTCGGCCTGGGTCTTCTTGCGCGCCTGGGGGGCGGCCATGGCAAGGCCGGTGAAGGCGATGACGAGGAGGGTCTTGAGCTGCATGTTTGCGGTGGGGGTTGGTTGGTATTTGAAGGCGGCGATGGGTGGATTTGGGTGATGAGGAAATGGTTGGATTAAAAAGCTAATGGACCGGCCAATCGGAGAAGTGAAGTCGAAGGTGTTTGCTGAAGGGAGGCGAAGGGAGGCTTGCTGATGAGACGAGGTGTTCGGATCATGATGGTAGGACAGGAGCTGTCTTATACGTGATCAGATGGCATGCCCAAAGCTGTCGCGACAAGATGCTGGGTGGCAACCATCGTGACGGCCCTCGCCGCGTTCTTGGTGTTTCACGCGGCTGCAACGGTCGTACTGACTCGGGAACTTTTATGCGACTTATTTTTTATTTCTTGGGCGGTTCTGTGACCCCCTGGAAGCGACCGATTACGGTTATTTCCAATGCCATGGGTGACATGTTTTGTCGCATCTGCATCATTTTCCGTTTCGCCATCCTGACCCCAGGGGGGCGTTGTTTCCGTTTCGATAAGCGCGCCTTTTCCCCCTTTGTCCGATCAATCTTCATCGAGGCTTCCCGCGACCGACTGTCACGGATGGACAAAATGGTGAGCTAAAAGAAAGATGTAGGGGCCTTGGCCGCCCGTGTGTTCAGAATTGAGACATGCAGGTATATGGCGGCTTCTTCAAGCTCAGCTGGTTATGGACCCCGATAATGGCACGGGATTTGTGCCCCCGATGACTCGCCAGCAGCAGTGCAAGCGGTAGCCCCTTGTGTGAGGTATCACGCTTGACGATACCGGATTGGGAAGTGGCATGTCTGTTTCTTACTACCACGGGCGCAGATTGTGCGTGCGCGATCCAGGTTTATCCATCGGTGTGGGCCGTGCACTTACGTGCCCTAGGCCCCACCTCATACACCCTTCGTGAACGCCCACCACACCCCTGCGCGTCCTTCTAGTCGGCGGCCCCGAGACTACCGCCTCTGTTGCGGTACCCTGCCGCGTGGTCAGTTCCTCCCTTCCATGGGCCCCCAGTCGAGGCGCATCTGCGACGAGGGCGAACTTGGCGGCTCTTCTGGGCAAGGGCCGGGGTGTGCTCTTCTCGACCGTTGTTGCGGGGGCCGAAGGGAAGCCCGTCCTGCTTCTAGAACGGGAGGTGACGGGGCCAACCATGGCCGCGAGCCTGGGGTCGTAGCGGCCGGCTCTGCCCATATCGTCAACGTGCCGGACCAGGCGATCACCTACCCGGTAGAGTGATCTGGGATCGGCATCGCCGTAACGGTTTTAAAGTGGCTCCAGCTCCGATCCGACATCGGTCTGCGCTGCGCACCGTTCGGGTTGCAGCCCGGCCTGAAGGCAACCATGGTCTGGAGTACATGGACCATTCAAATCAGACGGCGGGCAAGGCTGGCACTTGCATCATCTACAAGACAAAAATGCGTGAGAGGTACTTGGATTTAAAAGGGGTATTATCAAGGTATGGCGCTCTGCGTGATGATGAGGAGGGTACCGAATTTCTGCCGAGAGAGCGGCTTGAGGAACACATCGACCTCTGCAAAGACCGTCGCCAATTGACGTCTTTTCAGAACCGGTGCGTCAGGACAGGCACAGTTGGAGCTTTCTCAAACAGGCTAGCCGAAGAAAGAGAAAGATTTCATATCATGAGCAAGAAGAAACGTGCAGAATCCGAGGAAGGCACCTTTGTCCAGACAGATGGAATCAAACCGCACCAAGAAGTAGCCAGCAGCCGGAGGGTGGAACAGAGAAGGGTGGAGAAAGTAAAACACGAGTGAAAAAGAGGCGATGCACATTGGACAGCGCCGCCGATCAGGTGGGGGCGGTTCATGTGCGCCGGGCCGTCACGACACGACCCTCGACGATCGACGACATGGGAGCGGCATATCTCCCCACGCGAACCGAAGCACGCTCGCTTGGGCAGGTAGTATCGCCAACGCTTGGCAATGGGGCGGGTTTGCGCCCTTTTCGGCCATGGAACTTGGCAGCCCTGCGATTAGTTGTCTTATCCAGTTTAGCGCGTCGAGGGACGGTGATGAGGACGATACCACCCCACCAATGGGCACCAATGGTGGGTGGCATCTAGGCGAGCCAGGCCCTGATATTCCACCCACAAGGCGGGGGAAACCGGTCGAATACATACGAGCCGTTCGCTGTCCCAGACTTGGCCGCTTCAGCGAACTCGTCTCTATCCCTCCCCGAGGCTTACAGTCGTTTCCAGAGCAATGGCACCTCTCACGCGCTGGCTCCTCGCGCTCGCGGGATTCGGCATCGCAGCCGGCCAAAACAACAAGGCCGCAGGCCCCGACACGGCGGCCATCACCAGGTCAGCCCCCGCCGCCCTTCCGCAGCTGACAGGCCGCTACATCGTCCGCTTCACCGACACCGGGTCGGCCAGGTTCCGCAAGCGCGACGGCGGCCTAGACGCCGACGCCTTCTTCCGCAGCGCCCTGGGCGGCAGCGGGAGCGGCGAGGACGGGGAGCTGCGCGGCGTCAAGCAGCAGGTGGTCTTCGACTCGGACCTGTTCCGCGGCGCGTCCTTCACCATCGACACCGGTAACGCCAGCCGCAGCGGCCGCAGCGCCGCCGACACCCTCGCGCGGCTCAGGTCCCTGCCCGAGGTCGAGGCGATCTGGCCCGCGGGCGTCTTCACCATCATACCCCGGCACGACGCCGCGGCCGCCCGCCAGGTCGCCGTCGACGCCGCGGCCGCCGCCAACGGGACGTACGCGCGCTGGAGCCCGCACGGCGCCACGGGCGTGGCCGCGGTTCACGCGCTCGGCCACCGCGGCGCCGGCGTCAGGATCGCCGTCGTGGACAGCGGCGTCGACTACAACCACCCCTCGCTCGGCGGCGGCTTCGGGCCGGGGTTCAAGGTCGAGGGGGGATTCGACTTTGTTGGCGACAACTGGGACCCAAAGAGGGACGGGCAGACCTACAAGCCCGACGACGACCCCATGGACTGCAACGGGCACGGCACGCACGTCGCCGGCATCGTCGCCAGCGGGAGCGAGTCCGTCCCCGGAGTCGCGCCCGCGGCCAGGCTGTGGAGTTACAAGGTGTTTGGGTGCGCCTCGAGCACGTACGAGGACGTCATCATCGCCGCCTTCCTACGGGCCAGGGGCGATGGGGCCGACATCATCACGGCGTCGCTGGGCTCCAGCCTCGGCTTTCCAGACAGCGCCCTCGCCACGGTTGTGAGCGCCGTCGCAGCTGAGGGGATATTTGTCTCAATCGCGGCTGGAAACTCTGGCAACAAAGGTGCGGCGTCCCCATCCCTTTTCGGCTTCAAGTTGGCCATTATCTGATCTCGCTTTCCCACAGGACCCTTCTATACCAGCGATGGTGGCAACGGCCGCGGAGTTGCCTCGGTGGGGAGCATTGATCATGACGAGCTGGTGGGCTACACTGTACTCGCCAAGTCGAGCAGCGGCGAGTCTAGGGAGATCGTGAGTCGCCCAGGGGCCTGAGGAGATTACTGGAACCATGAGCTCTAACACTAACCCTATCCACAGGCCTACCTGAGCCACGATAGCGGTGCATGGGATATCGCTGGCAGATCGCTGCCCGCCGCCTTCGCCAGAACGCGAGAGGCATACACCCCCTGCACCGTAAACCGACCTGGCGTTGCCAGAAACACCGTCTTTGTGAACCCGTGAGCAGCAACCGCCATCCCTAGCAGCATGCTGAGGAATCAAGCTGACCTCCCTCGCTAGACGCCGCAACTGTGGCTGGCAACTTCACGACACCGCCCTCAGCGGACAGGTTGACTACGTCTTCTATTCAAACTTCAAGGACGCCGAATATGTGGTGCCGGACCGTGCCTACTACGACCCCGCCAGGCAGCCCAAGGGATGTGAGTAGTCCAGGCAAGAGAGCAAGAAAAGAAAAAAGCGCCTGGCATACCGTAACTCCCCTTGGTTCCTGACATTTACCTCCAAAGTCGGCCTCATCTCCTACGAGGATGGCAACTGGCTTTACACCCAAAACGAGCGCGGAAACGCCATCACCTTTCAGTTTGCGACCGGCGCGGCCCCGGAGCCCGTCGGCCTTCCTGTGCGGCGCTTCGCTGGTGGGAGGATGAGCGCCTTCTCGTCCTGGGGGCCCACCATCGACGCGCGCTTCTCGCCAGTCATCTCAGCCCCCGGTGGCGGCATCTTCTCGACCTTCCCGACGAACCAGGGCAGCTGGGCCGTCCTGTCAGGCACGAGCATGGCGACCCCCTACGTAAGTTGATCTTTCCCTTTCCCTACTGGCCACCGCCATGTTGTCCGTCAGGCAGTTTGGGGGGGTCAGTTCGATACTAAGACGCGGCCGCCATGCTCTGACAGATCGCCGGCGTCGCGGCCCTCTTCTACTCCTCTCGCGGCGGACGCTCCTCCCTCGGCAGGTACGCCAACAAGGCCGCCCTGGACCGCATCATAGCCAGCGGGAGGCCTGTGCTGCACACAGACAGCACCCAAAACCCCGCCTCGGTCTCGCAGCAGGGAGCGGGCCTCGTCGACGCCCTCAAGGTCGTGCTCGCGAACGCGACGCTGAGCCCCAGCCTCCTCGCCCTCAACGACACGGACCACTTCTCCGGCACCCAATCGCTCACCGTGACCAACGCGGGGAGTCGGCCGGCGTTCTACAACCTGACGCACGAGCCCGGCATCACGACGCTCACCCGCCCGCGCGGAGACGTCTGGTTCGGCGCCGACCCGCCGTACGAGTCGGCTGGCGACGGCGTGGCCACGGTCGAGCTGCCGGGGGGGTTCCTCCTGCAGCCCGGGGAGAGCCGCAAGGTCCCGGTGGCCTTCAAAGCCCCCGTCGGCCCCGACCCCAAGACGTTGCCCGTGTACGGCGGGCGCATCCGAGTCGTTAGCGACACAGGCGAGGCGCTGTCGGTGGCTTATATGGGTGAGCTGTTGGGCGTTTCCCACCTGGGTTTATAGATTTGATTGCTGACGCGGGTATATCGACGATCAACAACAAACAGGCATCAAGAGCTCGCTCCGTAGCATCGAGATCTGGGACAGCGAGGCAGGCGTACCGTTTCTGATGAGCACGGCCGGCGGCTTCATCCAGGAGGGCGCCGTCTTCGCCATGAACGGGACAGGAGAAAGGCCGCAGGCCTATTACATGAATCACTTTTCCACTCGCGAGATGAGCTTTGACGTATGTTCTTTCCTGGCATTTTCCCTCTTCTCTCCCGAAGCAATGAACAAATTTTGACAAGTCGCAAAAAAAAAAAAAAAAAAAAGACAGTTCGTCGACCGCGACTGGACCCCCTCGGACTGGACCTACCCTCCCGTCCCGGGAAAGAACAAATTGCGCGGCCACATGCTCTCCGAGCCCGTGGGGCTCGCCGGGGTCGAGGTCGCCTTCCCCATGGTCAACGCGCCGCGGGACCAGGGCGGCATCTTCATGATCTCGCAGACCAGGTGGGCGCACGGGGAGGAGATCCCCGCGGGCGAGTACAGGCTTCTGGGCCGTGTGCTGCGCAACTTTGGCGACCCGGCCAGGATCGAGGACTGGCAGTGGGCCGTCTCGGCGTGGTTCAGGGTGACCAAGGGGCGAGGGGCTTAGAGGATGGGAGATCGGTCGTGTCCGGGCGTTTCACGGCCCAGAGCGCTCTGCCGCTGTCGTCGAATGGGGGTGGTGGCAGCTCCCTTGGGCGGGTGCACCATGCCTACCAGAAGGCCAAGCGGAAGATGGCACACGAATCACATGGCAGATGCAACACACGGTCGCGGACAGGCGAACTGACAAAGCATCTGCTCGTTTCTACCTAAACTCCTATACATGCGCCTAAACTCCTATACACCTACACCGACCGCACCCTTACAACAAAGAGACCAAACCCTGCCTTATATGCAGGCCCAAAAACAATGCCCGAATGCCCGAAACCCCTTGACCAAGCTTTACTCGACATCCTCCCACGCCGCCTCCTCGGCCGAGAGATCGCGCTTAGGCTTGTGGCCCCCGGGGTACGCCTTCCCAGCCTTGGAGCCCGCAGGGGGCTCGGGGAGGCCGCCGGATTTGGGGGCGGCACTGGAGCCCGCGGGAGGCTTGGGGAGAGGTTGGGACGTGCCGCCGCTTTTGGGGGGGGCACTGGAGCCCGCGGGAGGCTTGGGGAGGGGGTGGGGCTGATCCCGGCCCGGGCGGGAGCCGGAGCTGGAGCTTCCGTAGCTGAGCTCGTACTCAAAGCCCGTGGAGCCCGACTTCATCATCACCTTCTCCTTCTTGGGCTCGCGCCTGTCCAGCCGCTCGGCCGAAAGGTCGCGCTTGCCCGTCTTGGGCGGCTTCGGGAGCGGGTGGCCGGCCTTGTCGCCGGCAGGGCGGGGAAGCGGGTAGGCGGGCTTCTTGGTCTCGGGCTTCTTGGGCTCACGCCTGTCGAGAGCGGCCGCCTGCGCGTCACGGGCGAACATGCCCGGGAGGCTGCGGGTGTCGAGGGCCGCCGCCTGGCCCGAGGGGTCTGGGAGCGGGGCGGCGATGGCACCGATGGCCAGGAGGGCCATGAGCTGGGCGGCGGTGGAGGGCTGCATGGTGGTGGTGGTGGGTGGTTTTGTTTGGTGACGTGAAGAGGTGAAGGGACGAATACAAGATGGGAAAAGGAGATAGACTTAGGAAAGAACCGGAAGGAAATAAACGGTAAGGAGATGGAAAGACCCGATGGTGGTGAGGAGAACCGAATATTTTTTTCGAGATGGACGGGCTCCCCAGATCCTTTTATACAGGCGCAGAGGCAGATGCCCATCGCGACAGAGTCATAAGGCTCGCATCTTGCCACACGCTAAACCAACTCGGCAGCGATCCCGACAGGTCCCGCAGCATCACCACCAGCGCACAACCAACTCGACCGCCAGCACCTCCTCGTCATCGCCCGGGTCGCCATCCGACCCTGACCCGGCGAAACGGCCCCGGTCGCGCCCCACCCAGGGCTTTTGTGGTACCTAGCACGGGCTGTGCCGACACCCCCCTAGCCCTCCATAAGGTGTGGCGAAAACGCCCGGTCTTGGGGTTATGCTTGTTTGCCGAAAGGAGCCTAAAGAAATTCGGGGCTGGCTGCCGGGATTATGATGTCGGTACAACGAGACGCTTTGACGCGGGGTGCTATAAAAAGCTAAAGCTTGTCCCCTAGTGGCGGCCCCCTCCCAAAATTCACCCCGCCAAACTTTACATCCCAGAAGTCGCCTTTCAAACATGAGCGATGTCTCGCTGCACTTGATGACGACACAAAAACACAACCTCAAGCACGCCGGCTGTGCATCCGAAGAGAAACTAAAGGCATTGCTACTTGAAGGGCTGTGCGCTTGCGCCAAAGAGATGATGTCGTAGTCGCGTAAACGAGTGGCCGTGCATGACACAAAACTCAGTGGCACCTGTCCCCACCCGAGCCCACGACCGCGGTCTATCCGGAAAATGCAACCATCCCGGACTGCATCCAGAACAGCGCCACGAACCTCGCCAGCCGCTCAACATGTTCAAAGATGTGCCAAAGTCCCCTTTTTCTCCACACCGCCACCATTCAAGGACGCGTATTAATTAGCTCGCGGATGAAATACCTGGATGTACCATGGAAACGACCCGTGACGGTACTGAGTCGACTCGTCGCACCACCGTACTAAGTGTGATGGGTATATAACCACCCACCCACTTAAAAGTGGCACCCTGACTGGCCCGCGACAAGGGATCAGCTCGATTGACGTGCACAAGTTTGCACAGTTTTCCGTCGGGTTGCGGGAAGTACCTTTTCAAGCAGGGGATGGGTGCCCTAGCTTGCTTAGGCTGTATTGGGTCTGCTGTTGATTGGGCAGGGCTGGACGCTATCCCCAAAGTCACAGGCACTAAAAATACACGTTTGCTGCCACCCGCCTAGGACACTAGTTCCCACGCATTGGCGCCACGTTTCACATAAGGCTAGACCACGGCGCCGCCGTGGCCAGGTACCTGCCCGGAGAGGTACCGATGCAGGCGCCAGACCTCACCATCTGAGCTCGAGGTGGCGGCCTATGGGCCATGCCGTAACCCAAACGACACCGTCCCTGCCCGCCCTACGGCCTATTTTGGCATGAGGCCGCGGCCAGTGGGCGAGACCGTATTAAGGAGGGGTCGCAGTACGGGCGGGGGGGCCTATCCGAGCGGCCGTTGGTGCGGCATCGTTTCTTGACTCGGCCCTTTGTTCACGGCATTGCTTGAGGCTCCTTCCCCCCACCTGATGCCCACAAGCATGACTTTCGCCTGTGCCTCGCTCATTTCTGAGGCACGTGCTACCGTACCTGTCACGGTCATATTCTAGGATTTGACTAGCATACACAGTATTGATCTTGCACAGGCAGGCACTCGAATGAGCCATGTTGCATCTTCTCATCTGCCGAGCCGCTGTCGTCGCCGACGTGGCCGGTGTCACGGTCCAGAGCTTCAGGCGCAATCATGAGGAGGCGCAACGTAATTTCAAGCCCGAGGTTGTAGTTATGCGGACCCTGTGAAATCACGTGCACTACTCATCCCGAGCAGCCTCGGTAGGTGTCGGAACGGTCACATGTGGTGGTGCTGCCCGAGATACTCGTTGATGCTTTGTAGATGGCGTTGGTCTGGGCACGTTCGAAATGTCGTGAGGGGATTTTAAGGACCTTTCGCGAATTATGAACGTCTAGCGATGATGTGTTACGCTACTGAGCTCTCTCTAGTGAGCCAGTGAAGACAAACCTGGAGAGAATGAAAGTAAGAATGCTCAGCGCGGCTTGACCGTGAAATATATGAACTTGGTCCTGAGGAAAAGTAAAAGGATATTTCTGCGTGGAGGAATATTCGAGACACGGATAAAAGCTTAACCTTGATGATACTGGAAGGATGCGGTGGCAACATGTTGAAGGACGCAGCAAATCTGGTGCCCATTCCGTGAGCAGAAAATAGCAAAGTTCGACATCACCTTTGTGGGATGCGTTGATCCTAACAGTTCGTTTATTTCCAGTTTTCTTCTTTCTCGCCTTTACCTTGCTTTATCCTGGGGCGTTTATCCTCCACACAGTTTCCCAGTTTATATTTTCCGAATATCTCCAAAAACCTTCTATCAATATGCAAGGATTTGCGACATATCATTGCTGAAATATTCCTTATTACCTACTTGTCCGGTAGGTCATGTGTCGATGTGAGAGGCTTGCGCAAATGGACTCGACTTTGACTGCTACCAGCGTAGCACTCAATGGTCGATATGAGCTTGCATTCCAAGATGACCTAGCCGCTCCTGGGAAGCTGTATGTCGTGGATGAAGGTCCAAATCTACTATCTCACAGTCGAGGGGGCAGATCAATGGATCAAAAATAGATGCAGGTATAACGTATTGTCACACGGAGGTGCCCAACGCACGGGCCACCAGGCCAGACAGAGGGGAACCTCTGTAGATTTCCCCTTCCTCAGGCATCTTTTACGGTTATAAAAAAATATTAGCTTTAATAAAAATAACCCATGCCTCTAAATCGGGACTTGGGGTGTGAGTGGGTTTAACAGGCTGTGCTGTGCGTTCGAGTTCAAACGCATGCGGCCGTTTAACCAGCATGTGCTGTTAATGTTCCCTCCTGCCGTGGCAGTGGGAGAGTGGCTCGGGAAGCCAGATTCACCGTCCCGTCAGGCCAAGACTCGAGCCAGAGCTAGACTAGGGACGCATATCCGGGCTCGCCGGGGCTGCAATGCTGCAAAAGCTCCGATGGTGGGGCTGAAGCAGAGTACATGGAAAAGACGGTTGTCGGACCCCCAAGCTCCCGGTGACAATGACCGCCTGTCCTCCAGCGTGCCTCCATCCTTGAAACTTGGATGCCGAGTCCATAGCAATCCGGATTTTCTGGTGGTTTGTGGTGCCGCTCGCTGGGCTGACCCTGGCCCGCATCGAGACACGTCTATGACTCGACATTCATGGTACTTTAAGCGCCAGGTGCAGCGAATTCCAAGTTTTGAAGCCCAAGGATCTAAGTCGCTGGAAGACCGGTCGAAGTGGTGATAAAGCAAGAGAAAGGGCAACTGCTCCTGCTCCAAGAAAGTCGGTCGACACCCACCGTCTGGCCCATTCAGCGGGGTTCTAGCGATGGGTCCCCCACGATGGTTCCTTAGCCCAAGACTGGGGAAGCCGGGGAGCAAGCGGGTATCATCTTTCGTAGTATAGTGGTCAGTATGCGAGCTTGTCATCTCGACAAAAACGCTCGAGACCCGGGTTCAATTCCCGGCGAGAGAGAAAAGCACACCGGCCGTACAGCCATCCTTTTTGTCCATGCGTTTTCGGCCTCATTTTATGTTGTTATAAGTACACTGAGAGAGGAATGCATAACGTAAAAGACAAATACAAAACATTTGATGCTCTAGCCTGAGATGGACTTTTGCACCGGTGGCCCGATGCCAGAAGTTCGCGAGCCAGACCGGAATGCTGAAGAGTAGTATTCCACTGTGTTAGCGTTTTCAGGATTCTACGCGACTGCCATTGCATGAATGAGGGAGCCATCTTCCAAGGTCTCAATCAATGCCTCATGTCAGGCATCCATCGTCTCCATGCGCCGACCAGGGATTTCCAGCAGCGTCCACGTTGACATGGATCGCTACTGGGTCAAGGACTGGCCCTTGCCTCGGCGAAGCATGGCAGGGAAGAGTCCACAGCACCATTAGGATGAAGCATCTCCCGCCTTCGTGCTCCCGTCGATGGCCAAGGCCTCACCAGGATTTAGCGAGTCCGCAACCTGCGGCACATCTCCGTCCCTCTCCTTCGCAAGCAGCGCCATCATCTCTTTGCGTGCATCATACACCTGGGTCCAATTGTAGTAGCCATTTTGCGTGGGCCCGCCCAAGTCGTGCTCGTTCATCTCGTGCCAGAAGTGAATGCGTTCTGACCCGAAGTGGGCTTTCGCGATGAGGTAGACCGCATTGATGTACGGCTCAGCTTGGGCTGTTAGTCTTCCGCTGACCTTGGAGCTGAAGCGCAGGAAGAAGTTGCAGTTCTCGGACCTGGCCGGCATGCCTGGGCACTCGCCGACCATGAAGTAAATGTATTGGTCGCGACCGCATTCCATCTTTGCGTGCTCCGAGACCTCGCCGGGCATCTCGAGAATCTTGCCGTCCTCGCGACGCCCGCTGGGGTCGTACACGCCCTGCCACCTCTCAATGATCTCGTCGAGGAAGCGCCTGTACGTCTCCTGATTCTCGGGCGTGGGCTCGAGCCGAGGGCAAACGTCAAAGCCGCAGTCGAACCCCATGGCTTCTGGTCGATTGGGAGCTGTTGTCGTGGATTACAGGGATCTTGGCGAGGCGCACGAAGGATATCTTGAGCGAAAGGCGGGGTTTTGTCTAGTCAAGCGGCAGTTTCTTGCCTGGAAAACGAAATACGGAAGTGATGATTTGCGGAGGAATGATGGAGGAGAAAATAAGAATGAGGGGCACCCCAGAACCCGGGAGGGGCCAACTGTGGCCGTAGCGTTGTGTGACGCTGTGGGAGGCCCGCCACCGCCCAGGTTGCTGGCTCCTGTGTCACGTCACCGTGCAAACGTCACTGGTGCTGCTGAATTGCCGAGGCCACTTTCCCGTGCAATGAGCCGAGATCCCTAGGTAGGTAGGCACCAGCGGCGCACGTATGCCCCTCCGGGCGGACGGGCGCATCCGGGGATAATGTAGCACGATGCCCGGAAAAAAAACCGGACTGCAAATGTTTTTCCCCACCCAAAC